AAATGTGATTATATTTTATTTTACTTATTTTTTTATTTTTCTGCCTGACTATATTTTATTCTTATTCATTCCTGTGAACCCTGACTCCTCCCAGCCCCTCTCATCTGGACACATGAAGTACATGGGGGCTTTTGAACCCAAGTTACTGGCAATTACAGGGGAATGCTCTTCAGTACTACAGACACCAAAGGTACAAACCTTAAGCTCATCTCCCAGTTCTTCTCCCAGGCTTTTCATGGTTGCTAGGCAACTAATAAGGAACACTGATTTTTTTTTGCCCCCTTCTCAGTGTAAACCCCAGGGAGGAGGGTCAAGATGAGGGAAAAATAATACTACAGGGATAGGGAAGAAGCTGGCCAATGTCCACAATTGTACAGAGTGATTCAAAAATAACACATTAGCTGTACCATTCCTAGCCCTCCCCCCACTTTCATTTTCTGGCTCCTCTCACTCATCGTGGCAGGCAGCTGAACCCTCAGCCATCTGGCAAGTCCTCTTAATGACACATGTCCCAATTTACATTAAGCCCTTAGATCTAGTAGGCCACTGCAGCAAGAAAGTATCTGCCCAGGGCCAGGGGCCTGGCTCCAAGTCAGAAAGCAGGCAGAGGGAGCCCTCTGTGGGAAACTATGGTCATAGCTCAGGCTCATGGGACCTTGGGCTACTCTCTCCATTTGCTGTACTTTTTAGGACTTACACAGCAGACCCGCAGTTGGAACTCACACTATAGACCAGGCTGGCCTTGAACGGGGTGCTGGGATTAAAGGTGTGCACTACCACCACCTGACTCCTAGTGTTTCTTGAAAGGGCACAAGTAAGCAGAACTCATGCTTTCATCCAGTTACAGTAAAAGCCATTATTCATTAAAAAAAGGCCTTGGGAAAGTGAAAATCATTTTCTTTTTTTTTTCTTTTTTCTTTTGGTTTTACGAGACAGGGTTTCTCTGTATTGTTTTGGACACTGTCGGTCCAGCCCGGCCTCAAACTCACATAGATCCGCCTGCCTCTGCCTCCCGAGTGCTGGGATGAAAGGCGTGCACCACTACTGCCCATCGTGAAAATCATTTTACTCTATCCAAAGGTACTCAATTCCATCCACGGAATGATTTAACATACATCAACAAATTAAAAGTTAGGGTCTAGGGCCAGCAAAGTGGTGCAGCAGATAATCACTTGTGGCCAAGCCTGATGTCCTGAGTTAAATTTTTGGACCCATGTGGTGAAAGAAGAGAACCAATGGGCACAGGCATGATCTCTCTCACACACACACACAAATAAAAATGTAATTATTTATTTTAAATTTTGGAAAAAGACTTTGTTCATCCTTAAAATGAAAAATGGGTACCCAGTCACCACGACCATTCAACAACAAACAACTCCGATAGTCTGATTCCATGTGGAAACAGAAACAGCAGCAGTTGAGAGGAAGAGAAGATGGGAGAGTGAGAGGGAGGGAGAGCAGGAGCAACCCCATGGGATTCTGGGGAGCAGACTGAAAGGCATGCAGCACTATGCAGGATGAGGAACACTTATTTATTTTTGCTTTCTGAGACAAGATCTCACTATGTCACCCTGACTGCCTGTGCCTCCTGATTCAAGTTGTGTTCAGCAAGCTCTAGCATCTCGAATAAATGTAAGATTTATTAGTTCCAGAAGTTAAGGAACATTAAACAACCAGCTGACTTATTTCTACACTCTTGGTCTGAAAACATACAAACATCTTTACCAGGAAACTGGTGTAGCCAAATCTTAACTAAATTCAAGTGTGACAAGAAGGAAGCTGAGGCCGGGCGGTGGTGGCACACGTCTTTAATCCCAGCACTTGTGAGGCAGAAGCAGGTGGATCTCTGTGAGTTTGAGACTAGTCTGGTCGACGGAGAGTAAGTTCCAGGACAGGCTCAAAAAAAAAAAAAAAGAAGGAAACTGAATTAATAAACAATTCAGGCTGCAGGGTCAAGGCAATATCAGAGACAATGCCTCCTCGGAAGTGAAGTGTGACCCACAGACTAAGGAAGATGGAAGATGTGGGCAGAGTTTGGGTGAAGGCTGGGGAGCAACAAGTGCAGAGGTTGTCAGTTGAAGAAAGTGGACTAGGCAAGGAGGGGAGGGGAACCTGGAGTTAAGCGGGTGGCAGACCACCTGCCTGGGCCTCAGATCTTTCCACTCTAAAGATTTGCGAGTGGAAAAGCCAAAGAACCACTGTTGTAGAATATTATTTTAAGGTGTGTTACATTTGTTTATGCTCTGGAACATTTGTTTAATGATGTAAAGATGTGTTGCTTTTGCTTATGCTGGTTTGTTTAACTCTGTGAAGCTCTGTGACTGTATAAAACGCCTGATGGTCTGGTAAAGAGCTGAACAGCCAATAGCAAGGCAGAAGAGAGGGTAGGTGGGGCTGGCAGGCAGAGAGGACAAACAGGAGAAATCTGAGGGGGTGGAGTAAGAGAACAAGGAGAGGAGGACACCAGCCAGCCAGCCAGCCGGCCGGCCGGCCAGCCAGGGAATAAGAGGGAAAATAAGAGGGAAAAGGTAGATGGGATAATTTAAGAAAAGCTGGCCAGAAACAAGCCAAGCTAAGGCTGGGCATTCATAAGCAAGAATAAGGCTCTCCACATGTGATTCATTTGGGAGCTATGTGGTGGGTTCCCCAAAAGAGACTAAAAGAGTAAAAAGTAAAAAAATAACAGATCATAACTACATTATTTTAATTCAGTAGCCTATGCAAATGCTATCCTTAATCTTTCAAAATTGTTTTTCACAGAAACCAAGTAAGCATTCTCTCTGTGCACAAACGCCAAAGTCAGAATAGTAAGTATCTGTGATATCAAAATAAGGACTCAAAATATCACTACAGACTATATGTACTATCTATGGGCAAAGGACCAAGCTGTATGTAGGTAATATAGACAGACCGACCTGTCCCCCCCCTCACAATCAGACTTCAACCTTATTACAGCTCTGCATTATTTGCTGGGTGGTGGGGGTGGATTTTTTTCATAATTCTGTTTCTTCCAAAATATTTACAATGCCAGTCACTCAGATGATGCTCAATAACTCAGGGATAAACATTATCAATTCCCGTATTTCCTTGCCGGGACTGGATTCCTGGTTACTGAGAACTTTATAACTTAACTGAGGAAAAGTCCAATAACAACAAAGCTGATGTGGATAGGCCCAAACTTCCCTCTTTCTCCTCTCGTCTCAGTGAATTAATTTATTTTGTATTGTGAAGATTTGGTTAAAACGAATGTTCCAGAGTTTGCCAAAATGTCTGTTTAATTTGCGCTAACAGTGCTTCACATGCGTTTATGTCATCAGGGCACCATTGGACCTCTAGTGGCATTGTTAAGGGACACGATGCACCATGGTTACTCTGCTTTCATATGCCATGTGTAAACATGTTGACTAGTCACAAGGCCATGCTTGAAAGAAAAAGACAAAGCACATCACAGATCAAAGCCAGGGGGCATCAAACGGATGCTTCTTATAAAAGCTTTACCACTACCATCCCACCACAACCCAGCATGTTCTCCGGCCCTGCTCTGACTGCTTCACACCAACACTCCACACAGCTCAGTTTCCAAATTCAAGTAGCACACAAGCCGGCACTCTCTACACCTTCTGTTCTTAGCAGTCGAGATACCAAGGCTGGTGAGCCATCGTCCTCCCAGCGGTGCCATGGGGACCCATCCCGGGTTCTCTTTGCAGGGGTCTAATTTAAGAGCTCCTGATGCCTCATTTCAAAGTGAACAAAAGATTAAGAACATGGGGGAGGGGTTAATGGTCTGTCCCTATGCAATACTCTTGATGTAACCAGTGATGGACAGAATCATTGGAAAGAGAAGACTTGGCCAGACTGCTCACGGATCAAAGGCCGGATCTTGTGGTGCTTTCACCTGACTTAACCAAACAACACTATACTCCAAACATGCCTCTCTCAAAGCTTCTCCCAGGACACACAACTGCCTAGCGCTGACAAGCAGAAGGCAGTGCAGGTGCGCTATCAACCACCGTGTGGCCCAAAGCCCTCCTCTGCAAATAAGAAAGACACTGTATAGTTCCAGCTCCACTACCAATAAACGTGCTTACTTGGCCTATCCTACCTACACCTCTATAAACACTCCACTAGGCACCCCACCTGTCTCCCCTAAGAGGGAAGTACTAAAGATAGTCCCTAAAATCGCCTGGCTTCCGCATTCGAGTGCCCACTTTATATATTTTTTAAAAAATGGTCCAGCTGACTGCCCCGGGGATCTTCATGAGAAATAATAAATGTAGACCAGCTCACATCCAGCTAGATTTTTTTTTTTTTTTGGTTTTACGAGACAGGGGTTCTCCGTATTGTTTTGGACACTGTCGGTCCAGCCTGGCCTCGAACTCACAGAGATCCGCCTGCCTCTCCCTCCCGAGTTCTGGGATTAAAGGCGTGCGCCACCAACGCCCGGCTCCAGCTAGATCTTAACATCTCCAAGAGTGGCCAGGGAGGGCCACCATCTCATGTGGTAGGCGAAACTACCATCCATTCTAGAGGAGGCCTGGATAAAATACGGAGGTCTGAATTTACGGCTCCCGAGAAGCCTCTGACAATCACCATTTTGCAGTTTTCCCAACGGAGAAAGCCAGGTGGGGAGGAACAGTACCGACTCCAAGGCACAGAGAGCTTGCGGCAGGTTCCAAAGGCTGGCCTGTCAGCGGTCAGTGACGCCGAGCGAGCTAATGAGTGAGACCTGAACGCGGCTGGCTTGGCCCGAGCGGTTGTGGCTGCGCCTATGTTCAGGATGTTCGGGACAAAAGCCCTCAGCCTACAGAGCAGCACGGTGCCTGGCCCCGGGGGACACGTGCATGCCTTTCGTCGCGGGGATGTGCGTGTCAGGCTAGGCGGTGGGCACTCCGCACCCATTCTACTGACCGGAAAGCCGAGGCTCAGCAGTCACACCGTCACGTGGGCAGCGAGGGCTGCGGGCCGGCCCCGCCCCCGCCCCGCCCCGCTCGGCCGCTCACCTTTTTGTCCCAGATCTGCAGGGGCTTGCTGCCGATGCTGTAGAGGATGGAGAGGAAGCCGCTCTGGAACGTGTTCTTGAACATCTCGCCAGCCGCGGCCCCGCAGCCGCCCTAGGCCGGACTGAAAGTCGGCACCGAGCGGCGGAGGACAGAGGGGGCCGCCGGTCCGAAGGAAGGACGCTGGGCTGCAGCCACTGACGGCGGGAAGCGGCGTCGCGTCGCGGATCCGCAAGCCTGGGCGCGCACAGGGCCACCTCAGCCCCGAAAGCACAGCAACTGCCGCCCGCGCCGCTAGCCCGCCTGAGAGGAGGCGGAGCGCCGCCGCGGCCCGCCACGGATCCCTCCGCACTCCTGAGCCCGCCTCCCGAAGGAGCATCGCCCAGTCCGGCCGCAGGAAGAGCAGCTTCCGGTTTCTTCCACCCTTAAGCCCGCCCCTTCCTGCCTCCTATGGCGCGGTACTCGGTTGCCAAGGAACTATTCCTCTCCTCTCCCCGCCGCAGCCCAGAATTGGTTCCCAACAGCGGAAGGAGACATTGAGTTTACCTTACATGTTGACAGTGCCTGCGGGGTGTCATGGGAACCGGGGAGGCAGTGTAGAGGGGTGGAGTCACGACAGGCCCCGCCCCCGAGGGGGGCGAGCGAGGAGGGGGACTTTCTGTGAATGACTGATTAATGTTGCTTGGCGTTGTGGCGCCATCATTTAATCCCAGCAAAGTCAGAAAGATCTCTGAATTCGAGGACAGCCTGGTCTACATAACGAGCTCCAGGACAGCCAGGACTCATAGAGAGACCCTGTCTCAAAAAATAGATGTCCTGGGGGACAGAAGAACGTGTGAGCGAGTGAACCAGTATTGAACGTCTTATTTACGACATCACCTTTAATTATCAAGTGACAGTGAATTGAACAAGATGCTGGGGAAAGCAATATGCTGGGGAAAACGTATCGCCTTAAGTGCATTGATTAGAAAACAAGAAAGCCTGAACATTAAGATAAAAGCAGGCCGGGCGGTGGTGGCGCACGCCTTTAATCCCAGCACTCGGGAGGCAGAGGCAGGCGGATCTCTGTGAGTTCGAGGCCAGCCTGGTCTACAAAGTGAGTTCCAGGACAGCCTCCAAAGCTACAGAGAAACCCTGTCTCGAAAAATACCAAAAAAAAAAAAAAAACCAAAAAAAAACAAAAAAACAAAACAAGAACAAAAGATAAAAGCAGAAATTAATAAAATTAAACAAAATTGGATTGGTTGACTTGAACCAACAGCTGATTTTTTTTTAATGCATCAACGCCTAGAACATTTTAGGAAAGACATAAGCTGTGGTATTTCAAGTGGAAGGAAATCTCAAATGTGGGAGACATCCCCTGTTGCCCAATGTCTTCCTCTATGGTATATTGTCCAGGTTTCCTTTGGGTATTCTGACACACAGAAGACTTTGCAGCAAAGGCAATCATTTTTAAACAATTTTTATCATCATAGTTGCAAATTACTATGTGATAGAAATATGGAAATTTTATTTATGTATTAACTCAATCCTCAAACCAAAGCTTTGGGTACTCCATCAAGAATTTCTAGATACAGTGAAAAAAATGAATTTATTACTGTATAAAATAAAACTTACCATATGTAATTTACTTTTGCATGATATCTGGATATCTGCCCAACCTGTTTCAAGTTCTTTTGCAAAAAGTCAGGTGTACACAGTTAATCCCAGCACTCAGAAGGCAGAGGCAAGTGAATTTCTGTGCGTTTGAGGCCAGTCTGGTCTACATAATGAATTCCAGGACAGTTAAGGCTGCTACACACAGAGATATCCTGTCTTGAAAAAGAAAAACAAAACAAAAAAAGTTAAAAAGATAATGTATGAAGTCTTTTGAGCTGGAAATGAACTGATCTAATGTTGAATTTTGAGGAATGGTTGCTTATGTTGAGCTTCCTACATAGACGACATTTGCACGAAGAACTCCATCTCTCTTCTCCCAGTGTTCTGATCTCTTTTTTGTCCCAGTGAATCCACACGCAAATGCCCTACTTCTTCCTGTGGAGGTTGGATCCTAAGCTGTCCAGGACAGAAGTTTACAGTCACTCCCTTCCCAGCTCCCTCGTGTCCTGTGGACATCTGCTCGCTGTAGGCTTGTCTAGAAGTTACCAACTTGATTCCTTGTGCATACCAAACCCGTGAAGTCTGCCTCAGCTCCCTATTTCTCATTGTAGGTCTTTTTGCCGGATATGTCCCCAATTTAATAGAAGCTCTGAGCTATGGGTGCCATCCTGGCCCAGGGTGTCAGTCACTCCTCATGTCCTGCTGGTGTCACCTAGCACCTCAGTCATCTTGCATTCCTTTGTCTTCACCTAGGCTGCTGCAGCTGGGCTGACTGGCTAATCCTTACTCCACTTAGAATGCCACTTTCAACTGGGCGGTGGTGGCGCACGCCTTTAATCCCAGCACTCAGGAGGCAGAGGCAGGCGGATCTCTGAGTTGGTGGCCAGTCTGGTGTACAGAGCAAGTTCCAGGACAGCCAGGGATATCTCAGAAGAAGCAAAAACAATTTACTTTCATGCTCCAATGTGTGCTTCCTATGGCTGCCATGACAACACACCACCGCATCTTCAGTGGCTCAAAACCTCAGTGGCTCAGAACAATAGAACTTTTTTCTTTCACAGTTCTGGAGGTGGGATGTCCAAAATCAGAGTTGTCGGAGCCACCGTCCTTTGAAGGTGATAGGAAAAAAGAAACCCTTCCTGGCTTGAGGCATTTCTTGACTGGTAGCAACAGCAGTATAAATTCTGTGTTCATTTTTACATGGCCGCCTTCCCCCCCACTTCTGTGTCCTCTCCCCTCTAATAAGGATACTAGTCATCAGATTTAAGGCCCACCTGGAATCCAGCAAAGATCAATGTGGACTGTGTTTGATCCTCCTTATATTGGGCTTGAAAGTTATTGTGTGTACTGGATACTTTTATGTCAACTTGACCCAGGCTAGAATAATCAGAGAGGAGCCTCAATTTAGAAAGTGCTTCCATATGATCCGGCTGTAAGTAAGCCTGTAGGGCATTTTCTTAATTGGTGATTTATGGGGGAGGGCCCAGCCCATTGTGGGCGGGGGGGCCAACCTTGGGCTAGTGGTCCTGGGTTCTATAAGAAAGCAGTCTGAGCAAGCAGCATGGAGCAAGCCAGTAAGCAGCTCCTCTCCAGGGCCTCTGCATGAGCTCCTGCCTCCAGGTTCCTGCCCTCACTGCTTTTGATGATGAGCTGTTATAAGGAGCTGTGAGTAAATGAACCCTTTCCTCTCCAAGTTGCTTTGGTTATGGTGATTCATCACAGCAATGGTAACATTGAGACACTATGATCTGACATTTGGGTACAGAAAAGACCGTGTGATCGTAAGAAGCATACAGGTAAATGGGCTTGGTTCTAGCATATTCTCCCCAGGGGTATGTAATGAGTCCTTTTCTGTCCCACTACCTTCCAAATAATGACATTATTAATAGTAACTTCTTTAATTATGAAAGCTCAGCCTATAGCTTAGGCTTTTTCCTAACTAGCTCTTATAACTTAAATTAACCCATTTATATTAATTTATGTTCTATCTTGCACCTTCTGTTTCCTCTCTGTTTGGCTGGTGACTCTGCCTTTTTTCCCCCCAGAGTCCTGTGTGTCTCCAGAAGTTTCACTTAACCTCTTCCTGCCTAGATATTGGCCATTCAACGCTTCATTCAACCAATGACAGTGAACATCTTCACATAATGTGCAAATATCCCCCAACAGGGGTGAGTGTGCTTTCCTCTGTTCATGCATCCCAGGCCCTGCCAGTGTCCACTATTGTGGTAGGCACTCAGTAAATAAATGAATAGCGAATGGCTAGAGAGATGACTGGAAACCAAATGGTCACTTCTGTCATTCAGGTCTGTAACCCTGCCTACTTAGGAGGAAAGAGGCTCAAACGTTCAAGGCCAGTCTATGTGGAGAGTGAATTTAAGGTTAGACTAGGCAACTCAGTGAGATCCTGTCTCAAAATGAAACAAAAGAGAAAGAGGCTTGGAGATATAGCTTAGTGTAGACTCCTTTCCTAACATGCAGCAGCCCCTGGGTTCAGTCCCTAGCACCACAAAGAGGAAGGACAATCATCGAGATGGGGACTACCGTATAGAAACAGAACAATTGCAACCCAGGCAGCAGCAACAAAAGCTCCCATGTTGCCGATCAGAGCATTCCAACTAGCTCAGGAGGTGCATCACAGGGTATGCCTTGGAATGTCCTCAAAGACACAGGCTTAGCTTGTTAACTCACGGCTCTATCTGGACTAGAATCTTTGACTATGGTGAACCAGAACTGAGGCAAGTTATATCATGTTGGTAGAATATCAAAACAGATGGACATTGGTTTTTAGGGTTCTTTTGAAGTGGAGAGGATTGAGACAGGGTTTCTCTGTGTGACAGCCCTGGCTGACCTGAACCTCACCTTGTAGACCAGGCTGGCTTCGTACTGACCCAGATCTGCCTGCCTCTGCCTCCCAAGTGCTAGAATTAAAGGCATGTGCCACAACAGCCCTGCTTAGACATTAGTTTTTAATGACTGATTTCATTTTTAAAAATTTATTTCTTATGTATATGAGTGCTCTATATGCATTATGACTTTATGCCCAAAGAGATCCCACTACAAATGGTTGTTAGTCACCATGTGGTTGCTGGAATTGAACTCAAGTCCTCTGGGAGATGTATGTGGTTTTGTTTGCTTGTTTTTTTTTTTTTTTTGCTTTGTTTTGTTGTTTTTGTTTTTCAAGACAGGGTTTCCAGTGAATAAAGTCCTGAGTGAATGTGTGCTGTTGACAAAGGCACAGCCATATCAATGATCCCAGAGCTTCAAACCCATGAAGGAATGCTGAAGCCTTCCTCTGGTCCCAGAGTGGATATTGACAGTTTGTGCAGAAAATGTCCATCATAGCTCCCCCTCCATATTTACAGCCTGAAGACTGCTCCCTCCCTCCTAGAGATCATTCCTACCAACATTAGGTAAGCCTGTGTCCTGATGCAGCTGTAAACCATAAACCCTTCCTCCTTATCTCTACTAACTCCTAGCCTCCTTGTCAGGGTTTCTCTGTATTGCTTTGGAGCCTGTCCTGGAACTCGCTCTGTAGACCAAGCTAGCTTCGAACTCAGATCTGCCTGCCTCTGCCTCCCGAGTGCTGGGATTAAAGGCATGCGGCACCAACATCTGGCCAGTCTTCTAGATTTTATATCTACAGACACATTTAACAACTCTGATAATAGGGCATGCACCTCTCAGAGCCAGGAACGCAGATAAAATCTTGACAAAAGCAGGGTGCTTCATG